CAAAGGGCGAATAAAAAGCGAATGACCCAAATCAACGAGCTTTCAGCGCCTTCCGAAATAACAAAGGAAGCTGTTGCGTCGCCTAGGTGTCGGCTACGTGACCACAGGAACCAAGTGACTCTATAGGAACTAGGCTTAGACAGCAGTCTAGAACAGGTGGTGGCAGGTGGCCCTTTGTCTCGCGCAGTCTTAAGCGATAGCTGAGAGGACAACAATGGCGACAACAATGAAAACTACACACGGAGCTGCAGAGCTCTCCAAGCATCGTGGTGTATGGTCGTCTCGCTTAGCCTCTGCCGTCTGAGCGATTCTCAACCAATCCCAGCTCCTTCAGCGGTCATGGTGGTTGACGGCCGACAGCAGCATTGAAAGCGACGGGATCGATGAATACTTGATAAATCGAAGCGAATGCTCGCAACAGACACGCACATTTACCCCGATGAAACGTGATTCCCAGCAGCTCATTCCACTCGTACATTCGAAGCAGGCCTCTCGATAGCTTCTCGAGAGCTCGCTTTCGTTCCAACAACAATTTCGCTCTCAGTCACGAACAGCTATTCTTCAAAGGAGACACCGAGCGATCCGGGGAAATCATTTTCCATCTACGGGGCAGGGCGCTTGTCTCGTGCTCTCCCAATGCCGAGGCTCAGAATTGAGAACGGGTATGCGAATTCTCCGACGGGTGTTTAAGATCGACCGGCGACGTATCGATGTGAATGCGCAAAGCTCCGTATTTGTTTGCTCCATCAAATCGATCCGACTCGACGGATCTCCGAGTCCAAAGCCGTCAGAAGGGCGGACCATAGTGACGAATCTCAGATGCCGTCAGGAAGTTACAATTCCCGCATCGTTCGGGTCTCACGCTTTTTCGAAATCAATTTCCGAGGACTTTCCGAGAAGAGTAAGTCTGGCTACAACGCTTGAGGCTATGACCGCAAAATCGTTTCCGCTTCCCGAGCGGCAAGTTAATTTTGAATAGATAGAATGATTATCAATTATTCATCTCTCACCGATGAGATCGTTCACAGAGGTGTTGATCGACAGCCCGATCCGTTTTCTGGATCTCGACGTCTCGGCTCAGCAGTTTTGATTCCATTCCGTCCATTTCAATTAACGTTTCGTAACGGCGATCGACGGTGTCACGTTCCGCCTATCGCGACCCTACTCATTAAGACTCGGATCAGCTAATTGTCCCGACTTCGAGGGGACCATCTCGTCGAGAGCGGAAGGATTGCTCACCAGCCGCTCGGTCGTTCCATAGAGTCCGAAATCCTGTAGGCACATACAGATTTGAAACGCTCAATAAAGATCTGCTGACAGAGTGACGGCTCACGATGCCCGGATCGACTCCAGTATCTAATGTTCCAGGTTTAAGCCTTCTGAGAACAAGTGTTCCGGTGAGCGGAGTCCGGACATCCGTTGGAGCTTCAGGGAGAATTCTGCAACACCTTGAGGACGGTCCGGATCAGTCAAATATGTTCTTCGATTGGCGACTGGAAGGCCGAACACTAATTTGTACCACCTCAAGGAGCTTGGAGCGATTGTCATTTATTGTGTCTATCGCACTGGACCACGGAAGTTCCGAAAAAGCACCTCAATCTCCGCCATCCGCGGATGATGTCCGCTTGGGGAAAAACAGTATTTGTTATTTCTCCTCCCGTTCGAGCCTACCCCGGACTGCCGCATTCCGACCGGTAGACTCCGCAACCAGAGAAGTTCGAGCTGTTTTGCAAGAATGAGTGACTCGTAGGGCGCGCGGATTCCCGCGAGGCACTGATCTGAGAGTCCACGCCGACGAATTGACTTCGGAATATCGCGCTCCCATTGGGAGTGCGATGACTTTCAGCTGGCGATTCCGACCGGAGCGATTTCGAGGACCGGGAGCTCGGACAGGGGCCCGGAATTCGGTTCTTTGAATCCTGTTTGCTCCAGAGTAGGAGTCGGAGGTCACTATCCTGAGTTCAAACGGTCAACATTTGAGATACTCCGCGCGATGATGATGCGCTGTTGAAGTCATGCTGAATGTCACGATTCAGATCCGCTTAGACTAATTGTTATGATGAGTACGCTCACAGATAGGAACCACGCGCTGAGAATTCGCTGAGTCCATGCGACGCGACTCCACATGGCGATGACATCTCCCAGGAGGTCATGGGGTTCGCACTGTTCAAAATTATTCTCCCCACCTTCGGTGCTTCCCAAAAGAGCGGGACAAATCGTACACTGATCTGGCCCTGCGATCCTGTCTCTACGATCCCCTCAAAGACACTCAATTGGAGGCAGGCTTTTCTTTTCGTTTTTTTTCTCGACGGGAAAGCCAGCCGGGTGTCGAGACGCTCTCAAACATTGAATACATTGTTCTGAGGCAGCTGGTGCGATCCTCTCGACTCTTGATAGATAGAAACGATTCTGTTCCTCTCGTCGAAACACAACCGATGAATGGAGGAGTCGCGAGACGTTCGAAGACCTCGCATCCGATGAAGAGTTTTCTAGAGAGGAACATTCCACAGTCACGGACTCATGTCGAATCTCCAATCTTGTGTGTCCATGGCGCTCACCGGAAGATATTATCGGATCACGGATCACGAGGATCCGAGCTCGATGAGGAATCCGAGAATCAATTGCGTTACGTACTAATCCTTCGGCTGGGAATCTAGAACTCGGGAGTAGTCCCGGCTGGCTCGATATCTGCCTGTTCCGGCAAACAACCGACTGAATCGATCAAGCCTCATGCCGCCTTGAGGACAGGAGCCGGATTTCCAGCAGAACCCGCGGCCGATTCGATTCAGAAGAGATCTGAGCTTGAGCGGGGAAGGCCTCAAGCTCCGCCGCACATGAGCCGATCGCTGGATTGAACCCCTCGCGTATATTTCTCTCCTTTCCCCCCGGAAATCAGAATTCATGCTCGTGTCGTTCACATTCAGAAACGACACTGCTCCCGCCTATCGCACGATCTTGTAGACGAGCCTCGCTGTCGTCGCTTAAGCCCCATCCTCAGGCGTAAAAATGATTGGAAAATCCGAGCTGCGGAAAAGCCGAGCGCACGCGATACGAGCAAACATTCTCTACCGTTGTTTACTAGATTCCATCTCAGGAATACAAGCCGCTGTTTTTTTCTATGGAAGGATATCCCTGTAGGGAGAAACTGCTCCGATTCTGTGGACCGATCCCGAGTCAATCTCATTGCGCGAGTGTCGCCATGAAGAAACAATTCATGGGGGATGAGAATCCCTCTGGACGGAGCTAACGTGGCTCATCTTTTGAATTCAATCAAGCTACGTCATCAACTGATTGACAAACTCTCGTAACTTCCCGGGGAAAGTTTTCTGGCCGGCCCTGTTGTGTGATCTGAATTAATGAAGTCCTGGGCCTCGGCTCTGGCCGCCTCCGATACGATCCCGCTGCTGGCGTCGCTGCCATGCCCCGTTCCGCTCCTCGCTAAAATACCATCCACCTAACTGTAACTTGATAGTGCCATCACAATTGCGCCATCGTTCGGTCCTTTCACGAGAGCACGACCGGTGTACAGTCCGTGCAAGAGCAAGGCCTGCAACAACGAAAACGTCGACTGCAACAACGACAACGTCGACTGCTACAGCGACAACAGCTGCTAAGGCAGTTACAGTGGAAACAACAATTGGGGAGGCGCAATCGTTTCAAACTTAGTTGTCGTGCTGTGCCGCTAGCTCATGTGTCATGACAAAACTGGCGAACGGAGAGCGACTCGCCTCCCTCGGCTGTCCCTTTTCGCGCTGCGTGCGGATCTCAAAGCAATCTTTCTGCCACTCTCGCTCGCTTGTTCGCATGACATGCGAGCTTCCGAAACAGAGTTTTAGACGACGGTCTCGACAGTCTCTCACAGTTTCTCGGTGCCGTTTCTGTACCGCGCGCATTCATCTCGAATCATTATTATAATGTTGTTCGGCAAAGGGGCACTTAGGGAGCTTCTGGGTCGAGGGGGTGGGATGCGGGAGAGCCGGTGCGGGTATGTTATCCTAATTGGGACGGGAAGTTGAGCTGCTTGTTTCCCGATGTCGCAACTAAGTGCTACAAGGGAGCCGCCGGCGCGGCAGTACTGTCGGAGGCGCCAAAGTTCCTACCCCCCGCTGCGAGTTGAAGCCGTATCAAATTGACAGCACGTAACTGACAAAAAGAGACTCTGTTATGTCGTTGGGAAACACTTAAACGTGACCTGCTTGCTCTCGCTTCAATTCCATGCATCAGTTGCGCGGGGATCGAAGCATAGAAGTTCCGCGATTGACTGGAACGCGGTCGATTAGCACCTCAGTGAAGTTCTGTACACGCACACGGGGGATTGTCTCTCCTTCCGATCGGGCTAATCAGCGACAGAAAACTGATGAGGATCGGACGCGATTCGATGCGCGAGGCCGGGATCTCGAATCACGGGTACACGAGAGCTCCGTTCACTTGGAGACCCAGAGCTCCGATCAGCTGGCCCGAGCTTCGCTCATATCGGAGACTGGAGTTCAAAGCCTCAGATGACTCGTTCGGTATAATCGACACTTATCGGCGGAACTGTTTATTTATTAGTATGATTGTTTGTCCCTCGCTCCCCGAGGAGAACGAGCCGCTGAGGAACTGAATTGTCGAATGAGATAAGAGTGAACACCAGAAACATGGTGTAGGCGGGCACTCGACTGAATCGCTCATTCTGTAATCACCGTCTTCGTGGTATGGTTATGTGCTGAACGACATTCCGAGCATCGAATAAAATCATCGACTTTTGAGTCTCTGACCGAATACCTACGTCGAATGTCGAAAAATTAACGAGGCAGGAGGCCTCGCCGCGGCGGTGATCACAACAGCCGGAGAACTTTGGGAAATCGCTCTTCCCCTTTCATTGTATCGCGGAAAAAGGAGAAACCTTTGGCAGACGGTCTCAAGGAACCTCGTTCGAGTTCTGAGAGAGCTCGTCTAGCTCTGAAGGGTTCACCGTACGATGTTCGACCAAGTCGGTACCTATGGCCAGAAGCACTCACCTCGAAGTACTTGCGGATGAAGCTAAACGGCAGGAACACTTCGAGCCCATCACGGAGACAGCTGACATGCTGCAAACCATTGATGTCACAGGTCAGCTCACGACCAGCCTGGGTTGCGGACCCGGTTTGCGGAGAATCATCGCCCCCAGGATCGTCGACCAGTCCATTGAGAGACGAAGTCAGCTGTAGTCTCGGAGAACCAAGAAGGCAAATGTAGGCGAGCGTCGATAGGGAGCACAACACGAGACACAAACTCAGACGTCGCGTCAGGGGTCTCAGGAACGATCCACGCATCGTGCCAAGCAGACCTCTTGGCATCGGACGCCTGCGTTCAAATTGTTTCGTCCCCGCAGGACGTCATTCGACCCTGAATCAGATGAGAGCACTCAGCGCGAGACGGAGCCTGCACTGCCACCCCTGCTTCCATTGGCAAGCGGTGTTCGTCTCTTCGGTCTCTGCTTTGCACTGCACGGATCTTCCGGATCACATTGCTCAGCGGACGTCCGTTCCCACGTTCGGATCGAACCGTACTCGCTGCTGGCTCAGGCACGACTGCTGCCAAACACGAAGTGTCTGTCTGTCTGATTCTCCCACTGTGGGTCTCTTACTCTCAACTTTTCGAATCAATACGACGCCTCGGCACAACACCGAATCCGGAGAGGGTTTTGGGAAAGAGCAAGGGACGACTTCGACGGCGCTGCTCGAAACCTGCCCGCGACAGCCAGCCGGCCTGCCCGACGATCCGCCTGCTCGGGCTCAGGCTAGGCTTCGGAGCAGGGCTCGAAGATCTGTTTGAGAGCGCGGAAATGGGCACGTTACTCTATCGGTCTCGGGACCGATAGTCGCTTTCGTTGAATATTCGCTCACAGTGTCGAGGGAAGCGTCGACGACTTCCAGCGAGCTGCTCCCTGTATCGTTAAGGCGCCGCTGAAATCGTTTGAATAGCTTGTTGGCCATCGGTCGACCCCTTGGGTCCGCGCGGTAAATTTCATTGTGAGAGACCGCAATAAATTCTCAGTCAGCTCGACGACGCCTCGAACTCGCGTTCGGCATTCTCCGCCAGGACCCTGAGCCCATCGACCGGAGCCCTTATATTCGACCAATATTCGATTAGATGGGAAACTGATGGAATCACCGATACCGATAAATGATAAACTTGCATCCGGATTGAGTTCGAGCCTATCTGAACGATAGAAGGATTGCAAAGCCCGGAAGGTACATTTCTAACTGGCAACAACAATCAGCAGCTGCGCTGAGCGCATGTGTTTCCACGGGGAAACGTTTCCCATCCGAAGGTAATCGAGGGAAAACGAGGCGGCTCGTGATACCATCAACTGACGGTCTCTCGCGGCAGCCGATCGAATCTCATGAGGGTGTCCCTCCCGCTTATCGTTCGGTGACCACATGAATCAAAGGAACATTCTCGAGCTCAGGCATCCGAAGTATTCCGAGTGTGATTTGGGAGAATGGGAAGCCTGCCGGCGCGATGATTGCGGATGTATCGAAAAAGCTCCCCAAGATATTAATGGAACTGCTCTCGGTATCTGGTAAATCAGCAGATCTGTCATCCTGATAAGCTCTCAACACGTTGGCAAACGTTGGGGACAACAGCTCCGACACGACCGCAAAGGAACAGCCGTTCGATTGTTTGGTGGTTTCTCTCCCGTCCGGCGGTCGCCTCTCTCGAGAAAGAGACGGAAATCCGTGTTCATTTATAGTTCTCATATCGTGTTTGTATATCGGCCGCTCTGCTCATTCCTTGCTCCCGGGAAGTACACGGCTGATTCTCGGAAACCTCATTGGTTTTCTGAACTTTGCAGCAGCCGGCGAGTAGCTCCGCGGAAATTGTGAATTTCCGTCGACACCGGATCGAGTGGGGAAAACATTCGATACGCCTCTAATGAGTCGGACAAACATATCGCTGAACCCATTTACAACCAGACGAGCCGAATCGAGATTGCAGGTCTCTCGTGCGATCGTTCTGCTAATAAGTTCCGTGCACCTTATGCCGGCCCACGAGAGCGGCCCCTGCGAGGAAAGATCAAAGGGGGAGCAAGGAAGCAACCAGATGGTACTTCCAACCGATCCGGGCAGCGATCGGAGAGTCGGCAGCCGAACAGAGAGGCGAGCAGACGTTAAGGCAAAGGCGTGGGAAGGTCTCTGGCTTCTCAGACGAACTGAGGCAGCGTCAAAATCGTCGGCCAACGGTCGCTTCAAACGAAAGGGAGGGAAAAATTCGTGGTGAATGCCGCCGTGTCCGGCGACTCACCCGTCGCTCGAAAGGAGGGAAGATGTCGTCGACAGTTCTCGGACAAGTTGTCAAGACATCGGCTCAGCGGCAGAAAACTCTCCAGAACACACGCGAATCGTGCACGTACTCCTCCCGCTTTTGGAAGCTCCGACCGGTCGAGCGGTACCCGCAATGGAGTTTTGAGAAGCATGGAAGCAAAAAGTGAGATTGCCCCTTCTCTTTGCGATCGCTCCACATCGCGTGCAGGGGCGTCGTTGATGTCATTTATTTTTTTGCCTTTCCCCTTTTTTCCGCCTCCCTCTGTTGAATGGTGGAAAATACTTACCTAAGGACGCAGTACGACCACGCTAAGCTGGATGGTAGCGGCTCGTTTGGCCATGACCACCGTTCATGAACGTCGATGATAAATGATGCTTTCGATCCGACATTCGCATTTTGGTTTTGTTCCTACGCCCTTTTTTCCCCGATCCTCTCTCTCGCAATGGATTCCGGTACTCCCAAACTTCCTCCGGTTACGCGGGAGCTTACGACAACGAGCCCGGCCTCGGACGATTTCACAAACGACCATTCGCGCCCATAAACCATTAGCAGTCGCGCCGCCGGCTAGCTCGCACGTAGTAGTTGTAGAAAAATGTATTAAATGGTTCGAATGCATCCCAGGAACTCCGCATCTCCGACCTTTCAAATGAGTCGGATTCATGTGGGTCGTTCGTGTGAAAACTCTTTTCTGCTTTCGGGGAAATCTCGCGAGATCAGAGAGCATTGCACGGAAAGAGTTCCCCGTTCATTCTCTCCTCCATGCCCTCATTGGTAGGGGAGCTGCGGAATCGGACCGGGAAGAGTCAACTCGGATCGTCGTCCTATTCCAGTTCACTACCAGTGCCGGATTCCAGGCGGTGTCAGGCGACCCCTCGTAGCAGGTTGCTTTTGTGTAATTATGATGATAGTTAACTTTGGCTTTGTTGTCATCAGAGAACTAGACTACCATGGATTCGGGGTTCCAATGGTGATGACAACGCCTCATCGACACTCAGGTATCCGAATGTTTCCACGAGTCAGAGCTCGCAATCGCGTGCACAGAGTGAGTGCCGTGATTCCATAGATGACTCACACCAATCCGATTGTTCTCGATTTGCGCTAGACGCGAGGCGGTTGAATCTGCTCGCGTAGATAAATAAGCAATTAATTACTGAAATCGGAGCCTTCCCGTCGTTCGTTGCCGATAACAGAGGAGTTGATCAATCGCGGTGCACGTATCCATTGCGAGAGGGTATTAGTGATAATAATGCAGGCGCACTGCGATATGGGTCATAATTATACCTCTCGCCGGTGGGGTGCAAGGTTGTATTTCGAGAGAGGAATACAGAGCTTGCTATCCCAGCAACATTTGGGGAGATATTCCCTAGTCGAAGACCGAGGATCTCCTCCGAAACATCCTAGAAGTCGGTTTTAGGACGAGTTCCGCCGTACTCACGCTAGCAGGCGAAGCTAGCACGGTATTTATGCCTTGCTGAAGATGAATCCAGGATCTCAGTCGTCGAGAGTGCTGCTGACTTATTCTTTCCGTAACACTGTCTTACCGCTCCTGACCGTGGCGAGACCAGTCCCTTATGGAACGGAGATCGTCCGAGCTCGTGAGAGCATAAGAGCCTTGTGTCTCTTGCGAAAGTAGGACCAGCGGGCTCTTGGGCGGTGATGAAAAGACTGAAGCTCGCCGCTCCGTAGATATCAATGCTCGACAGGGCTAATTCCTTACCCGCAGTACCTCTGCATCGCGAGAGATTCTCGATCACAAACCCCCCCTCCCTTCTCCGCGAGGAATATGAATGGATTTTCAGCGGCAATCGATGCCTCCTCTCCCCATGTTCCCGCCTCGCTGCTCGCTATCGGGATCGACCGCGCTGTAGGGAAACAGAGAGCCGAGGTATTATTTATTGGGAGCGTTGGATCCGCGACTTTGATCTAGAAAACTTTTGCCCGTCTCGTCAACTTTTCGACGAATTCAGTGGAGCTGCCTCCCCGGCCAAGTGAGTGAGTTTTCAGGTGAATTCATCCGTAACTAGCGGATCAAAAGCTTGGAGGGATCGAAGTTCAATATCGCTCGGCCTCTTTGTGTACGTCCGCAGCAACTCCGCATGTCTATTTCTAGAGCAATGTAAACGTGCTGCGTCTGCGTTCTTGGCTCTGTTGACAGTTGGAAAAGCTTTCAGAGCCTCGCTGGCGATCACAAGCGACAATATACCTCGAGATCGACATCATTATCGAGACAGACTTCAATGCCCGTTACAAGGAAAAACTTCTACCAAGTCCCTCTGATAAGCGGAGATGATTTTAATGATGTCTACCAGCCTCCGCCCTAATTTCATCATCGTCCTGAACTCTCAGTGAACCGCTAACAGTTCTGAGCTGTCATTTCAAATGTTTGATTCCGCCCTCGGACCAATGCCTCCGAGGGTAGCCGAATTCGAAGCCTCTCTGAAGGAGTGCGTCTCGTCGAGCTCCTCAATTTTATGAATGCTCTAGCCGATGAACATCCCGGTCAAATATTTTCGACTGCTAAACGCATCGATTCTCCCGAATAATTCAAATACAATACAACTCCTGATCAAGGTCATTGAGACATATGCCTGCGAATTCCGCACACGAGTAAACTCAGCTCAAGGAACGAATATAGGGACTCCTCTCGGATCGCAAAGCTAGCCACACTCTCCGCTCCGATGACGGATACTCTTCGACCAATGGGCTGCTAGGAATGTCAGTGAACGCGGTCAATAGCTGTCAAGAAGCCGTACATTGAAAGCTATGTATACAAACAGCGTCTCGCTCGCAGATTCCAAGCGGATTTCGCGGACTCAACGTTGGATACAGACTTTCGGCTGTCTGTACATCGCAAACTACAGACAGGAGGGATGGCACGTGAACCGATTCAAATGAAACACTAAGAGTTTGGTGGAAATATTCTCGCGAGATCCGAGTTTCGGCCCTGTCACTAATCCCAATTATCAGGGAACAGGACAACCGGATGCGGTCATTACTGCGTCCC